AAGAAGATTTTCAAAGAATTTTCACATGCATTACAGCATATTATTTGGACACTTGTTGAACCTCTTCCCTGACCAAAGGCCAATTTGACTTGAATCTACACTTCACGAGTATGGTTTATATAAGTTCGATAATTTGTAGTCTTGTATATCTCAAAAAATTTCTTTGTTTTGAAAATTACATCTAGGAAATAAATGCCAGGTGTATATTAAATCATGTAAAACAAATCAAAATACAGTATTTCAAACACATGTCCCATCTTACAACACTGTCAGTACTCTGATTTTCCTGTTTATGACTACTGTGCTGCAGGCCATCAAATAAGGTTAAAATAAGGTGTGGTATGGAGTGCTTACCTACATTAATGCCCAGCAAATCTGCCTGTAATTGCATCAACAGCTGATTGGCAGTCATTCCCCCATCTACCTGTAGGGACTTAAGGGGGATGCCACTATCCTCTCCCATGGCCTCAAGAATCTGAAATATTTCAGGATGTTTTGAATGGGATTGCCTACATGTTAACAAAATACATCCTGTGTTTATTATGACTCTAGATCTATTTTTACTTTTCATCAACAGCTCTTTTCTATATATACAGCCAAAGAATCATTATTTCAAATAAGACTGTTAATATAAAAAACATAAGATTTAAAAAAAAATCTCATGCTAATTAAAAACAGTAATGTACAATCACAAATTTTTTGTGGAATAAAAAAAAATTCTGTGTGCTTTGAGGAAAAAACAAGATGTGTTTGTGAAACACTAATGCCCCCATATGGCAACTTATAGCAAAGCTTAAACTTTCTCAAATGCAAATCAAATACGTTGGTACCCAAAGTAAGGTCTTCTCTCGAGGAATATACCTGTGAAAAATGAAAGCCCTTGCAACAACCATTGAATAGATATGGAAAAGGTTAAAGTTTTTCAAAAGTAAGTCAAACACCATAGTCAAGGTCAAATAGTCAGAATTAATGGTGCCCAAGGAAAGGTCTTTCTCACAAGAAATAAGCAGGTGAAATATGAAAGCCGAAGCACCAATCAATCAAAAGTTATGACCAAGGTTAAAGAATTTAAAAGTAGGTCAAACTCCAAGGTCAAGATCTATGGATTACAATCATTGGTATCCAAAGGAAGGTCTTGTCACAAGGATTACACATGTGAAGTATAAAATCCCTAGCACCAATTGTTCAAAAGTATGGCCAGTGTTAAAGTTAGATAAAATTTTGCAAAACTGGGTCAAACTCCAAGGTCAAGGTCAAAAGGTCAGACATGATGGTACCCAAAAAAGGTCTTATCACAAGAAATACTCATGTGAAATATGAAAGCCATAGCTCCAACCAATCAAAAGTTATGGGCAATGTTAAAGTTTTTGCAGACAAACAGACAGACAGACAGATAGACAGATGGACGGACAGGGCAAAAACTCCCCGAATCTTCGATATGGGGGCATAAAAATCAGTTTGTTGGGATTTGCTTACATAGAAAAAAAGTGTTGAGTTGTTATACAGTGTACATATATATGAATCCTATGAATGGAATTTCTCAGTTCATAAACATCCTTGCAAAAAGTAATTGCCAATTCGATGGATATTATTTCGTGACCTCAAATGTACATGTATGTGATGTCATTAGGAATAGAGAGTGGGAAAAATATATTGTGATGTCACGAATACAAAGTTGTCCCCGGGCATTTACAGTGCAGGCCAAAATGGCTCTGTAAATTCCCAGGTTCTCTCTATACATTCTATTAAACATTTTCGGAATCTCAGACACCCAACGGTAGACTTCAGACTACGGACTTTTCAGATAAGGGAAAGTGTCAAAACATAATTTAGATAAAATGAATATATTTTTTTGAAGTCTTGATTATCCATATATACATTTTGTTTATATTTGTATGATTAAAACCACCATACACTGTGAGCACATTTACTAAGTGTGGGTATGTGTGTGTTGGAGGGGGGGGGGTGTCCCTCACTTGTCCGAGAATTATAATAATAATGTAATGCTCTATTCCCAAGAGATTGTTCGATTTTATAAATTTTAATTTATCACCCTTTTCCAACAAACCCATGGGTCAAGGTCTAGGACTAAAAAAGTAGACTAAAATCTTATAGAGTGTACAGTCTGTAACTAAAAAAAAAAGAATAAAACTCTGTCAAAGCAGTAAATGGCATCCTAAAAAATGTTTTGTTGATTTAAAGAAAAAAAAAAACCTGGTCTGGGGAAAAAAGAAAACATTACCCCATGTCACATACATGTCACAAACATATCACTTACAACTTTTTTCATACCCCACTATCATAGGATCAACATATATTTGAAAGGAGAGGGTGAAGATAAAATAGTATTTACGAACCAAAGCAAAGAGCTTTGAACTACACTCGATTATATAACTCTAATTTATAATTTTTTTTTCTTTTAAAATATAACTGAATATCATATTCTCATTGGATGAGCCAAGCGTACTTCAATTTAGGCAAGTATCTAATATCTGGGGCCTCCACTGGATCCAGGAATCTTAGATCTCAGACTTTTTAATACAAAATGCATTAATTTATTTTAAGTTCGCACCGACACATTACAATGAAGAATGTGTATTTATTTCTTGTCCATGATTATAATGTAGTTTAAATTATCGGGGGAATTGCATGAACACTATCAGTCTTATATACATGGATATAATAGTTCATGTTCAACAAAGAAACGCCTAAATTATGCTATAAGTTATTCAACATTTTGCGTGTATATGTATTATCTATCTCAATTATTTTATAATATTTTCAAAAAATAGATAAGAAATTTTTCATTATTATTTTCTTTTTGAGTAATTAAAATCACTCAAGGAAATCAGTTTAGCAATAAACTTTTTTTTGTTTCAAATCGAGTTTTTTGCTTTCATTTCCTCGTTCTTGATCAAGCCAGATATATTGCAATATGCTAAAACTATTTTTCAACACTCGTTTTTGATATCCAATTTATTTTAAACAAGTAAAAATTGTTCACTGGTTTCTATATTTAATTTATTTTAACCGAGCCGATGTGAATAAATGATAAAATCACTTATTTTCCTATGTTCCATGTACACTTGAGAGAAATCGAAATTTTTGATCGACTGCATGAGGTTGGACTGAACTAGGTCGGATAAATCTTCAAAATTCAATTTACTCAAGTCTCTCCTTTTCACCACATCTACCTTTTTTGAAAATTCTCTTTTTTTTTTTATTTGCACAAAAATAAAGGAGAGTGCAACCGCTGTAACGTACCCCCCTCTGGATCTGTAGCTGCATATCATGTATAGATGTATATTAATTAAGATCAATTCATGCATTTATTTGTTTGTAAGATGTCCCAAAATCGATTCTTTTTTTAATTTCTACCAATCTCTACAATTATGCAATTGTTTATTATTTTATCTTCATTCAATTTCAATAGATCTTGGAGATACTGAGAAAAAATTCTCAGTACAGTACATACTACATGTTAGTAAGTTTGAAAACGTATTTCTATACGTTCCCCGCATGTCGTCTATTGTTTGCAGTCCGCTGTCCGTAGTACGTTGTCAGATGTCTGAGATTCCGAAAATGTTCATTAAGAACTAGAGGTACTGTGAGCACTGAGCTCCCCCCAGCCCACTCCCATGTGAGTACAACAGGATACTTTGGCATTTCTTGGTTATATGTAATAAGGGTTTGTGAAAGTTCCATTAAATTTTATTCAGAGGTTTAGGAGGAGTTGAGTTTACCAAATGGGTATCCCCTTTATTGAGTATAATGACTAAGTCCATGTTTTGCTATGAGAAACCCCAAATACCTGTCTGATCAAAAAGTTAAATAAAAGGTGCACAATGGCACTATGTAATAAAGATTCTGTGAAAGTCTCATTAAACTTTATTCAGTGGTATAGGAGGAGTTGCAGATAAGAGATGGGTACCCCCGATATCATAAAAAAATGGCAAAATCTGTTTTTTAAAATAAAAAAAAATGTTTTACCCAAATATCTGTTTAATCAAATAGGAGATGCACAATGGCATTATATAATAAAGATTCTGTGAAAGTCTCATCAAATTTTATTCAGTGGTATTGGAGGAGTTGCGGATAAGAGATGGGTACCCCAAAGTGTAACAGACAAATGTACAGATGGATTTTCACCCCATCACTGTACAACCCCTGCTTTTCAAGTTGGGTGGGGTGGGGTGGAGGTGGGGGTTATAATATATCAAACAAGCAAATTTAAAGAATTGTGGTCCCCTGCTTTCATTGTCTTACTTATTTATGGCATATTTTAACTGTCCTGTAGGTGTGTCTTGTCTTGTCTGTTCATCATACAAAAATTATTTAAATTTCTAACTTAATAAGTTATGGCCAAGATTAAAGTTTATGAAAATTGTGTCAAACTTCAAGATCTAGGTGATGAGGTCAAATATCATAAAATATTCCAAAAGGATCTTGCCACAAGTACCTGGCAATGCACATGTGATAAAAATAGGAAAGCCTTGTCTCTTCTAATGCAAATGTTAATATTTTTGATAAAAATGATGTTTTTCTGAAAGGTGTTGTCACAGGTAATGTACATGTAAAATATGAAAGTCCTATCTTCTCTCATTCAAAAGTTATCACCAATGTGAAAAGAAAGGGGGCGTACAAGGGGAGGACAATCCCCTGCTCTGGGACAATATATTTCTCAATTTTCTAAAATAATGTTTTCCGCAATGTCATCTTCAACACAATTGATTCAGTTATTTTATTTTATGACCTTTTTGATTGATAATTTGTTTTTAAAGTTGACAGTAAAGCATATTTTGTGGAAAATGGGTTTATTACAGCCATAAAAAAGGATTTTTGAATATGAATGGGTGAAGTCTCCATTCTTCATTAATCATTATATGACAAAAAAGTAAATGTAAAATCTATTTCATGTTTCCAAAAAATGGAGACTGAACCCATTCTATATGAAATTGGACATTTCTGAAAAAATTTTATGCTTAAACAAACTCATTTATTTAAATCACACTGACCACAAACAAGACAAGCAGACTTTGTAGCATAGTGATTAAGTCATTCAGTCTTACACCTAACCGTGAGATTTGGAGAAAGTTTGAATCATGCGTGAAGCTTTTTATATTCTTTTTCACATACCTTAAAAACATTAGTGAAAAATAAATTACTTGTTAATAATTTATTCAACAAAATATAGGAAACAAATGTGTAAAAGACTATATTGAACAATATAATTTTTGATAAAAATATAACTTTTCATGAACTTTCATAATTGAAAAATGTCTTCTCAGAGCGGGGGATTGTCCACACCTTGCACGCCTTCATTCTTTTTGAAAAGTAGGGCAAACTTCAAGGTAAAAGTCAGTATAGTTGAAAAGGTCTTGTCACAAAAAATGTACATGTGAAATATGTAAGCCCCATTTTTCTCATTTAAAAGTTATAATCAAGGTTAAAGTTTTTGTGACAGAAGGCAGACAGACTGACAAATGGGGGGGGGGGGGAGGGGGAACAATAAATCATTCTCAACCTAATTTTAATTTTTCTTTCAAGTTCAATGTGTCATTTTAAATCTAAAGATCATTAACACTTTGTAAAAAAGACCAACTGACACTGCACAATAAAATGTCAGTATCAATTCACACTTTCAGTTGATTACAAGCAACCTCCAGTATCTCACCGAGATTCATTTTTACAGGTGATTAAATAAATCTAATTAAAATATTTCATAATATTTTTTTATGATGGTCAATTATGATTGCAGTTGGAAGCTAAGACAATGCCTACTACATTGCCGATTCAGAATACAGAATAATTCTTATTTATGGGAGGTACAGTCCCTGAAACGTTCTACTTTCCCATTTTTCCGTTCGCTCACCGTTCGTTCACCGTTCGTTCAGCGTGCGTTCACCGTTCGTTCACCGTGCGTTCACCGTTCGCTCTCCGTTCACAGTTTTGCGTTCACCGTTCACCGTGCGCTCGCGTTCACCGTTCACAAAGCGTTCAGCGTTCGCCATTCGTTCCGTTCACTTTGCGTTCACCTTGCGTTCAGCGTTCACCTATCGTTCAGTTTTCATTGTCATTCGGAACTCCGAAGTGAAAGGACTTATCTTTTTGTAGTTAAGGAGTTACAGGTTTTTTTAATTTATTAACTAACATATCGTGTTTGAAGAATCATTATTTCATGAGGAAAAATATCTACGATATATATTTTTATTATTCTAATTTAGCTGTTAGGTTATTTATTAAATTACTCTGGAAAATAAATGTTGTTATAAAATATAATAGAACTAGTTCTGAGAGTTATACATAGTACTGCGGATATCCTGTTAATTTATTATCTTTAGAACGAATTAAATTGATAGTGTGGTTAAAGGAAATATTTATTTAAAATGTAATGCACTACAGAATTTCTCTACTGTAATATGTAAAGTCTATAGTTATAGAGAAAAAAATCTTTCTTCACCGTAACTTTATATATGATTAATACCCCCCCCCCCCCATTTCCCCCTAAATCGGTTACTTAGTCAGTACCGTATTTCCAGAATATTTAAATTAACATTAACAAAAAGCTACGGTCTTTTTTAGAACAAAAATTTCAGTCTCAAAACAAACATGCATCTAAAAAAAGTCACAAAACAATAGTAGATCAAAATGTACACGTGTCGGCGGTGGTATTTGAAATTGGCAGAAAGTATGTTTCACATTCAAGTGTTAATGCCCAATGTATTTTTACTAATTTATTATTCAAATGTTGGAATCAAATCTAGAAATGATAAAAATAAATGTTATAACTTGTTGGAAATACTCGCACTTCGTCTTCGATGTGACGAAACTTTCACACTTGCACAGTGTCGAATGATTTTGATTGACAGGACAAGCACGTGGACTTCGTGTGAACTTGAAGCAGGAAAATAAAAACGAGTATGACTGTCAAACAAATGGATATGATTTGTTGATAAAAAAAAAAAGTTACTTTCACTGTCTGATATATTTAGAAAAAAAATTCAGAGTTTTTGTTTGATATACAGTGTAGGTACAAACATTTGGTGAAGCCTGAAAGGAGGGGGGGGGGGCTAAAACTGAATATTACTCTCTCTCTCTCTCTCTCTCTCTCTCTCTCTCTCTCATTTGTTTAATAAAAACTATAACACCATATTACTTAAATATCAAGTTTTGAAAATTGAATTTATAACAAATAATATGAATATGTATCTTTGTATCATCTTGTCCGAGTATAATCACGGCCATCTGGAGATACATGTAGACGTCTGCTCAATAAATCATAATGAAAAATAGAAATGACACATAATATATTATTGTTTAAAAATTTAAAATACGAGGGTATAAATGTAATTAATTTTTTTTTCATTACTTTACACGAAATCGCCTTGACACGGAGATATATATATATATGAATATAAGTTACAACCGCTTTAATTCATTCTATAAATCATAAGTTTTCTCTGATTTGTTATCAACTAAGAATAAACATTTTTATTTTCCAACTAAAAACAATATCTTTTATACTTCAGCGTTCGGCAACAATTGCAATGTTTTAATGCGATAAAAATCGTGTGATTAAAAATTTAATGTGCATGCATCGTCTTTCTTAGGACAATTTTGGAGAATTTATTTTATTGACTTATTTATTCATTCATTTATTTGTTACTTATTTATTATTTGGGTTTTTTTTTTGACACCTGACATTATAATACAATAAAATAGTTTCAATGCAAGGAAAAGATCAGAGGCATTCCGAATATATCGTTCATCTTGCGTTCACCGTTCGTTCACCGATCACTTTGCGTTCGCGTTTGCGCTCCGTTCGCGTTCTGCGTTCGCTCACCGTTCAGCGTTCACACATCGTTCACCAAGTTGCGTTCAGCGTTCACACATCGTTCACTCACCGTTCGCTCTGCGTTCGTTCAGCGTTCGTTCACCGTTCGCTCACCGTTCAAGTGGGAAAGTAGAACGTTTCAGGGACTGTATATTTTTATGCATTGCTGAAAATTTACAGATACGTGAGGATATAATTTTGTGGGCAAATGTCTCATTATAATAGAACATCACTTATATTTCATTACATGTATTCACTGAGGTTGTAAATTTGTGGGTATAAATAGTTCCAGTTACAAGGGTTGACTCTGATGTACTGACTTTATACGTGTCATCCAAACTAGAAGGTGACATATTCTAACAATGAAGTATCTAAAGTAAGGGTTGAATTTTCTCATATAACAGCTGTATAAGGCCAAAAAGAAATAATAGTCTTGTTTCCTGCTACCAGCCTGAAAAAGATAGGGTAGGTAGGTAGGAAAATTATTTAATTTAATTTTTTTATTTTATTTTTTTCCGACGGCATTTTTTGGATATGAACTAATACAAGATCAAATTAAACATGTCACAGGTCAATATTATCTTTTAAAATTAAATTTCATGTCTTTTTATGCACAATTCAAGTGGTATTTTATGAAAGTCCATATTTAAAACAAGAATTTCATGAAATGTTTGTTTTGTGTTAACACAGAAATGGATTATGGTGACAGAATGATGAAATTCTGGAAATTCCCAATTTTTTCTCTTCCAAAACTAAAAAAAAAACTTTAGGGTCGGGTGCAAAAAATAGGGAAGGTCGGGTAGCAGGAAACAAGACTATTATTTTTTTTGGCCTAAAGAAAGTCAAATCCAACGGAACAACTCCATATGGAAAGTCTTAAATTATTAATCTGTATGGCATGATCGTACTGCAGCGGTTAGGCAGGTTTGATTGCTGGTGGCCAGATAGCTCAGTTGGTGGAGCACCTGACTAGTGATGATTCAGGAGGCCCAGGTATGAAACCTAGTCTGGTCCATTGCATTTTTCTCCCTTCCTGTTACATTTGGTGCCATGACCATGCCCTTGAAGTAACATGGTGAAAGACCTGCCAGGGAAGAGCCTGGGTTAATATCTTTAGGGCAAAGGCCTTGAAGGAGGGAGAAATGTGTCGGTCAGACTGGTTTGATTATTGGTGGCCAGATAGCTCAGTAGGTATAGCACCTGACTAGTGATTCTGGGGGTCGAGGTTCAAATCCTAATCTGGTCCATTGCATTTTTCTCCCTCACAGTTACAGTACATTGAAGCATACCAATTTTTATTCTCAGAAAAAATTTAAAAAGTGAGGCCACAATTCACTACAAGGGATATGATTTCTTTACTACATGAAGACTTGATCTTTCATTTAGCAATTTTTAGTCTTTTGTTTAGGTTTTAAAAAAACCATTTTATCTATCTATATTGCTAAAAATTTGAACTCCATTTTGTAGTCTCATCTTGGCTTGAACAGGGAATCAGAATACTTATCAACAAATTCTAGCCTGGTGGTTTATAATCAGAAGGTGAAAAAGATTTCTATTATCTGACCTCTCTTGTCTGGAAACACACAGCCTCCAACGCTGCCCTGGCGATATGTTCTTTAGTCGTAAACTGGGTCAGTCCACAAATAATGCTGAAAAAAGTAAAAACTTGTCCAATATTCTATACAATACAATCAATGAAATGGAATAGATAATTGTATTTTCCTCCAACCTCAAACTTCAATTCCATAATGTTAGAGTCTTTAACTAGAGTTTCAGTTTCAATTCAATACTGAAGAATACTCTACATGCATGTCAGGGAAAGGGTCTTTTAATGTACTTTCAGCATAGTACAAATATATCTCAAACTCAGAAGACTCAAAAGAAGTTCAGAGTTCAAGACATCCAAATATTTTAAGTTGATGCTTCAACATGAAATATATTTGAGACTCATTTCAACTAATCCCACATGATTCAATATATCCTTGTTCGAAATACGAAAGCTTAACCATAAACACTTTCAATTGAATGACTATTTTTAATACTCAAAATGTTTATAGTAATGTATAATCGATTGTTTGCACTAACTTTCTTAAATACTCACTAAGACTTGGTATTTTTCAAAATCATTCTTAATACACCAGAAACAACAGAAAATACACTCATAAAAATTACAGCTTGTCATCTCTGTCTTCAATATGAGGCCCATTGACTTCAACAGTTACATGAGTACCATGAAGCAAAAACTGTTATTAATTTCTTATTTTAAGTGAGTTATTTTTGGCTTCTAATTAATATATTCAAAATTGATTCTATTAGATTCAATAACAACAACAAGCCAACAGGCCATGATGCTCATAGAATGGCATAATAAAGAGTAAAGACTTTCTTTGCATGTTCCAGGTCAAGAGTTTTCTGATCTGTTCCCCTCAAGCAGAGCAAATAAGAAACGCTTGACTTAGGGGAGATGTCTTCATGTGAAAGGGTAATCTCTCCAAGTCAGACAGACAAAAACACAGACAGACACCCACAAAGAGACCCTTTTGTAAGGTCATGTTTTGCAAGCAACCACAAAAAGTAGGCCTTAATCATCATTCTGTTTGTGACACTGATAAACTGTTTTTCCCACAAGGCAGTTATCTAACTTTAATAATGCAAAGAAAATTAAAACATTAGCTGTTTATATAGACTGCATATCTGGAGTCTGCTCTCCAACCTGTAGTGTTGTTTTCCTCTTTTGTTTTTTATAAAAAAAAAAATGAGCTTTGAAAAAAAAATCATGCAATAAAAAGAAAAAAATGTTTACCCTCTAGCATCCATTTGCCAATATGGACAGAACAGGCCAGAAAAGGCAGGAACAAAGTAGCAGCCATGTGTACTATCAACTTTGGCAGCAAGAACCTCTGGAAAGAAGCTCTAATAAATTAAGAAAAAATAATCACCTCTGAAATAAACATCACTACCTGTAACTAAATGATCTTGGAAACCAGGTGTAAAATAAATGTATGTATGTATATCTGTTAAACCTTAAAATAAAGTTAACCAAATCAAAGGGGAAAATATCTATACAGTAAAACTCGGTTATGACGAAGTCACTGGGACCTTTGAAATTACTTCGCTATATCCGTAATTCTTTATATCCGTGTAAGGAATTTGTTAAATTCATATCGCTGGGGATCCAAGATAACTTCGCTATATCTGTGAATTCGCAATATCCGTGTTCGTACTAAACGAGTTTTACTGTATATTCCTTTTTTTATTCAGTTAAGCCAAAGACTCAAGTGAATTTTTCTGACTGAAAAGTGTTTAGCATCCTTCGATCTGTATGCTTTACACATTTTTGGTGTCTACCACAGAAGTGAGAGCCACAGGACAATTTCAACCAAACTTGGCAAAAAGCATTCTAGGATAAAGGGTATTCAAACTTCTTTAAATGAAGGACCAAACACACACCACACCCATTACAGGGAGATTATTTTCTCTCTAATATCTTAATTGTTTGATGTATTTCCATATCACAATTCAGTCAGGTAAATCAGTGCTTGATTTTGTAAAATACTTTTCTTCAGATCTTAGATCCTCTAGAAATGTAAATCTTTCAAATAGAACCCCTTTACCAAAACCATATCTTTAAAAGTACTTCAAGTTTACACAACTTGTACATACCAACTTCCTCTGACGTCTTGATGACACCTAGATTGTCTCTCAGCCATCGTACACAGGCTCCCGCAATGGCCACTGCTCCTTCTAAGGCGTATACCACAGGCTTATTTTTACCTAGCTGGTATCCAACAGTGGTCAAAAGCCCCCTCTTTGACTCCACAGGCTAGCCAAAAATAATTGTAAAACACATACATGGCAAAACAGCAAAATTAATATTATTTTAAAAATAGACTACATGTACTTAAATGGACAAATTAAAATATTATTTATTTATTTACATTTTTTTCCTGTCATTATACCGGTAGACATAAAGTTTCAAAGGTGTGATTTGAAGGCCGTCACGATAAGCAAATGACTTGCTAATTGCTTAATTTTAGGGAATAAAAATTATAGTTTAAAAGAAAAATGTGTAAATTGGACTTTGTCTTGATAAGCAAACACGTTTACGATTTCAATGAAACATTTCTTATTTCCTCTGTTTTTATTTTCACAAGTCTTGCATCGCAGAAAAGCATTTTTTTAATAAAGTGAATTGCATTCTTACAAAATATGAGGGTTTTGCAATAAAACATGAACATCAAAACTGCACTCATACTAATGACATACTTTGCAGGGTTGTCCTTAAGAATTGAAGTAGAAGGGGACATTTAAAAAGTAGAAGGGGATCTGGGGTTCTTCCCCTAATGGGGAGTTTAGGAGGAATACCAAAATAACTGGGGGATTACATCATTATAGGTCGGGAAATTCCCCGTCCCCTCGGTCTTAGGGACAACCCTGACTTTGTCCATATTTTTACTGAACCTAGTGTTCCAATTTATGTTAGACTCTAGATTTTACAGAAATATAAAATCATCAATGTCAGTTCTTGTAATGTTTAGAATTAATTCAGAGAGGTAGAGCTGACAGTGATAATAACATCACCAGTCTGGTATGTTTTATGAGGCTTTGGTCATACCCTTAAACAGGTAAATCTATGTGCAAAATAATTGTATGATATTCATTTAAGTAGTAATAAAGAATATGTCCACATAATTTATATCTTAAGGTATCACCATAATGTCAGAAAATTAAAAACATTTTAAAATCCATGCCTCATTGGAACACCCTTTGTACACGTACGTCAACTCATTATCATTAATATAAAATTCATTTGGAATTGATAACAAAGTATGATTTAGGTCTCAGTACGGAAAAGTTACAATACGTCAGTCAGTTTAGAGTGATCAAAATCCAATTTTTCATAAAAGGTTAAGTATTAAATTTGCTGCAAATTATTGAATTTTTTTTCTCGCAAGAACCTTCTTCAAGCTAACCTTCAATGTCCATTTGATCTTTCCACACTTTAATTATCACATACCTCACAACCAGTATTCATCAATAGGAAACACCCTGTTCCATACCTAGTTAAAAAAAATCCAAATCCGATTAGTCTAGCAACTTTATTTTCCGATAATTGTCTGAAATTAAAACACATCATTATCTAAATGCCACACTGTTCTGATGACATTAACAAGAGGCCCACAGGCCAAAATGCTCACTGAGTCACACAGTTATTTTATGTTGACAGTGTTCACAGTGGGTCAGTGTACCTATATTTGTTCAAGCGACCAAAAACAAACATCTGCCTCTTGATAATGCACATCATATTAGAATGTTAAAGGACTCATACAATCAGTGTAACCAATGATGTCACATATAATTTAGAAGTCTGCATTTACATACAAACTTAATTCTTGTATAGGAAGTGGACTCCAGTGTCAATCCAACCTGAGGACAAGTAACTGTTAGACAAGCCCTTGCATTCATATACTCAAAGTCATATTTTAGCAAATTTCAAAACTTTCTTAAGTTTTAAGGAATAAATCCAAAACCCTAAATACTTCTTTGTAATTTGAATCCCTTAATGAGCCTTACTGCACAATTTAATAAATTTTAGTTAATATTGTACTAACTCAATTTAGTTTACATAGTAGTTGGTATTTTTCAATTCTTTTCTTTTCTTTTTTTTTTTTTACAGAAACAAATGCCAGTGGCCTTTGGAGAAATTGATAGTGGAGAGACAACAGATGTCAGACTTTTTTTTTTAATTTCATCAGTTTAAATAAACTGTCACAAACAAACTAATGACAATATACCTATCTTGATAGAGATAAATTTATCAAGAGGGCATTCCCACCCACAATAGCATAGCAAATCTTAATTAAATAAATCAACTATGTCGTGGGTGTTGATATATAATTTAAAATTTATACACAAATACCAGGTCTTGTGTGCCTAACATATGGTCTTGCATAAGTTTCTGGAATTGCTTATAAAATACCCCATCTTTTTCAAGTAATCTGCACGTTTTCTTATTCTTGAACACGAGATACTTCATCCATCAGGGTATATTGGGGTGTTTTAAATACATGATGAAAATCAAATTATTGTTCTTGTGTCACCTGCAGAGCAGAGGAACACTTAGGGATCACTTTACATGGTGTCTGTCAGTCACACCATATCTTCATAACTAAGAGAGGTATTGAACTATTGATTTGATATTTTTTCAATAACTAGAATACATATTACATGCTTATGAGCTCAAGACACTGTACTTATTAAACTGTATGATCAAACATGATTCTGAAGTTAAATGAAAAAAAAAGCAGATTTATAGACGACCCCAAATAGGCTGGGGGGGGGGGGGGGCTGTCTAGACCCCCGGAAGCTCTGGGGTAAATAGTGCAAAATCCTGCATTCTGAGCATTTCCTGGCACTTGGTTTTAACTCAGAAATTATCTTCTTTTTAAGAAAAAAAATTACAAATGTTACTTATTACCAACATTTTACCATAGTCTTTGACACTTTTGTTTATCAATTCACGTCATCTTTCATCTGTTATTTCATCAATTTCATCTGTTACAACAATCAACATTTCCAATAAATCTTCCAGCAACTGGCTGAATAAATACTTCAAGCAAAATCTTTAACAATTTTGATTCTCTAGACTTTATTCACATTGTACAATTTTCGCATCCATTACCGCGATCAATGCTTCTAGTAAAATTTCCAACGATCTTGGTTGAATTAGTGATTCTAAAATCCAAGAACCAATGAAATTGCTTGTTTCATTTAATCAATGAAGTGAAGCAAAAACAGACAAAAACGGTATAATACGAAATTACTGAGATACTTAAGAAAGCGGAATACGAATTTTAAAGTGAATTAAGCAAATCTGAATAGAGGAAATCCGCTTTAAAGTGGGAAAAAACCCATGCCTTTGTATGATACACAGCTACCACAAAAACTGAAATTTAAATACTAGGAAAATACATCTGGATCAATCAGTATACCAAAATGGCACTGATGTAGACTGACAATTGCAGTAAAGACACACTAATATCTTTCTAGTTTCAAATCAAATTAAACACATATAAATAAAGGAATAAATCATTATTTCTAATACTTTCAATTTCATTATTCATTTTATCTCTGAGGGTGGAGGAATCATACTTCTATTTGATTGTCACATTTTATGATTGTATTTGCTGTGTTGCCTGCAGAGCAGAGTGACACTTAGGGATTACTTTACCCAGCATCTGCCTGTCCATCTGTCTGTCTTTCCATCCTTCTGTCCATCTGTCACACCCTATATCTTGAGAACCATATTTAATATTTTGCACACATATTGCTTGGCATTTTGTCTTTTGTAAAAAATCATGGTTATCGATCTTATGATCCTTGAACTTGACATTTTCTTTTAACTTTTTAGTCCATTTTTTAATGCTGGAATTTGCCAGTGTTCCACCATACAGCAACAAAAAGTGGGGAGGGGGCAAGCACCTTCCAAATAAAAATTTACATAGTAAAACTACATCAAAAAACTATTCTCAGAGGAACTGCCCTGATTAATCACTCAGTTTCAATGGATGTTCATTAAAAATATTGATAAGCAGTTATTTAGTACTTTATATTTCCTTTTGTCCTTCAGTATGTGGTTCATTTTTTTTGTTAGACAAACATGGATATAAAAATTTGATGCTTGTTAGTAAAAAAAGAACATGTCTCTGACAAATATATACATGTACATGTACTAGTATCAATAAGCCAATAATGCAACTTTAATATATGATTTGATTATTCACTAAAATTTAATTTTGATTCATGCCCAAGACTCATCATTCAATTCCCAGCCTTTGTTCACAGCATGAAGAATGAATTAAGTCACGTACAATACAAAATGCTTGTTGAAAATGCCTTTGAAATCCCAAGTATCATAACACATTCAGTCCATCAAAGTCAAAAACAGACTGACATTATTCTGTGTTCTGATGAACCTAATTTACAGGCAACACTTTTTAGTTAAATCAGATAAACACTGGATAGGAGGGGGTAACATTTTGAAAAAAAAATATTTTAGACATACTGAAGGACAAATAATTGAATAGAAGGACATAGATTTGACCTCATCATATGACCTTGAAATTCACAGTATCTTAAGAAGAGCATAAACTTCCATTTTTAGCATGTAGGAAGTTGTTCCGTTAGGTACGTCATAGATTTTATAATGTTGCAAACAGGATGATAGACTACTCCAAACATGATAAAATTAATACAATTCATTGATCTTTCAAATAGTACAATTTCATTTTAAGACTGATTAGCTGTTTATCTTTTTTATTAATTTTATCTTCATGAAAGGATATGTTTTTAACAGTTTTCTTATAGGTGATAAAATTCATGATGATTTATAATCATACTAATTGTTGTCATCAACAGGACCTCCAGAGTAATATTGGAAATTACATCTAATATTTTAAAGCTAGACCACCTGGATTAAATATGAAAACTCATCAAATACAATATATAAAAACTTAAAATAATGTAGAAAAACATAAATGATAAAGTTCACTTGATCACTGGAAATTCTATTATAATGAACACAGAATAATACTCTAGACAAAACTGCAAGTTATCATAAAGGGTCATAAAGCTTTGGGCAAATTTTAAAATGAAATATATTAAATTCTGTGTTTAAAACAAACTGGGCAAAAACAACAGGGGAAAAACTTCCAGTATATAGTGTATAAATTGAGTTTTTCTTTTAAAATTATCAACAAGTATTCAATGAAAAGAATGTACTAACGTGTTCTTGGCTTGGCCTGCATTAAAACACATTTGTCCAACCATTGCAGACTGCTGATCACCTAAAATCTGTAAAAAAAATTGTTAGTCTATAAAGATTTTAAAGAAAGAAGACATTACCAAAGTGAAACAATTCATTCACACATCACAATATTGATACCAATAATTTACATCTAAAATATTTTCTTTATTGTTTGTTTTCTATAAAAATTTCTCGAGATTTTTCTTTTTTTTAGTATTATTTAACAAGTTTATGGCAACACATAATACAGATTGAGTACACATTGTGGAGATACAGAAAGGTATCTTGAAAAATACTAGATATAATTTTATAACTTTTTTCTTTTCTGTAAACCATCATGTGAGTATAGACTACTTAAACCTAATGAATTTAAGATAGATCTCTCCAAAAACAAGGGAACTAATCAGCTGAAAATATTAAACTCACATACCCCAGAAATAGGGAGATTCTGCAAAGGGCCTGTTTTCATTGAACCATAAACCTCTGAAGAACTTCGAATCTCTGGTAACACAGATAGTGGGATTTCAAAGAAGCTGAAAAAAGTAAGATGAATCTTAAACACACAGAAAAAAGAAAATACTCTGTACAAATTCTTTTTGTTTTATTTTTATGAAAAATTTATCCAAGAAATTACCCATAAAGCTTAGGGTCCCATTTCAGACTATGAATATTCATTAACATGGTACGACTTGCATTGGTAACATCTGTGGCATGTATACCTCCATTGATTCCTCCTGTCATGTTCTAAAAAACATAAAAACTATTCTTGTCCTATCTACAAATTTAATTCAGCTTAAAACTTGGGTGTTGTCCTTGACTCCATTAATTTTAACATATAGTAATCATTTAGTATGCATTACATACTGTAAATGTACTTTATTCCACAGGGTCATATATTCCACAGAATCACAATTTCTCTTTAAGAAGCTGGTAGAAAATTACCGGTATGTGGATTTCTTAGACTGCCACTATATGTCTTATGTGTATTTTAAGTATGCTGGGACAAATTTCAGTGGAAATCTTGTGGCTGCTTAAATTAATACAACACCGAAAAAAGTACTTCTATAATATCCTAACATTTAAGACAAAAAGGTTTAAAGTCTCAAAAATTCACATCTAAACCCTATCCCCTACACTTCCCAAAAATCTGTGCAAATGTTTGCAAGAGAAATTAATTATTATGTACGAAACTGAGATGCATTTGTAAACCATTTTTCAATTTTCTTCAGTAAAACTAAATATTTACCCATAATAACCACGAGTCAACCGTTCCAAACAGGCACCTGTCCTCAGCTATAGCTATCCTGACTGCTTCCACGTTGTCCATCAACCATCGTAACTTTACGGCGCTAAAGTATGTTGTTATTGGCAGACCACAATATGCCTATTTAAAGAAACAGAGGATCAATTTTGTTCAAGAGCAATAAAAATAAATTGTGCCAACAAACTAACGGGTATACTCTAAACTAATCAGAACAAAATATAAACTTTAAACTTTCAGAGATTATCATTATATTTATTACAAATAAATCATCATAAATCTTACAGAAACAAATGCAGACTTGAAATTTTTTCCCCATATACACTGACAAATTCTCTCCCTACCCCAAAGTTGCCCTTTTCAGTGTTAGTATTGTTTGTGTTATTCAACTGCAAATTGCAGTTATGGAACACCAATATTTGTATCTTTTCATTAAATTAAAAAACATAGTTTTTATAATTATATTAAACATTAAATGGGCATTTACCAAAAATTAATGAATTAAGACAGTACATGTATTTATTCATTTTCTAAATAAATATACACTGTATGTAATTGATGGGGAAGTCCTTAATTTTCATAAACATTTTTATACGTAGAAAGTTCAGAAGCTTCACATATGTAAATGTTTCATTTCATGCATTATGGTATTTTTTTTTTAAATTAAATGAGTTCAGTTGTACACATCAGGACTTTTAAAACTGTTTTTTGAAAAAAAATTTTTACTATGATGAGTTTAACCCAAGAGAGTTACTGTACATACATGTACTTAGTATTTGCAAACTTTGTAATAATAGCAGAAAGTAGTGCCTCCATAAATCTGCATCAAGAATGACCATGACAGCAACAATAGAGTCACTTTGCAACTACTGTACAGTATAAAGCGTACCCTTAAGTGGTCTTTGTCTTTCTGAGGGGTTTTCGCAATAAGCTTGTCAACTGTTGAAGATGTCCGTGTGTCCAACCAAACTATAACAAACAGTATGACATTTTCAGTATTAAATCAGACCATGTAAATTGAAAGCATCAACAACCAATTATCAGTTCCTTGCAAGGAAACAGTTTTTACTTATGCTGTTGTGACAGAGATCACGTATACTATTTTGTCTACATACCTCTTGTCTGCAAGATTTGAATTATATTTTTCTCTCTGGCATATATCATGATCATCAATATGTTTAAATGAAAAGACAGAAAGGCTTGAAAAAGCAATACACTTGAAAAATAACGTAAATATCTAATGTGTTTTTCCAATATTTCATTTACTAGAATACCAAAAAAAAAAAAAAACTAAAATTATTTCCAACACACTAGACATTGATTTTTTTTTCTCTAATATTGCATATACTTGATTATTCCATATTAATCATTGAAGTTTAAGAGCTCATTTATTTCCTGTGATAAAATAATTAACCATATATCTATTTAGGACAACATTCATCTAGTCAACCCTTACACATCAGCTATTCTTACTAATCAACACTTGTGTATTCTTACTATAAAACTGACATTCCCTTGATATTAATGATAAGAAGTGTTTTATCCTAAATAATATTTTTCCCAATTACTTCAGTAAGTTATACATTTAACTGTTTTTTACTGCTTTGTGTGTCTTTTATAAACTGTCACTCAAATGACAAAGTAAAAGAGGGTCCTGCAAAGGGCTGTTAAAGGAAAGTGACAATTGTACACAGAAATTTTTAGTTTAAAATATAACACATCATTACATTCACTCATGTGTGAGAAATTGTAAATATTTTTAAAAAGAGACAGACATTCATACAGTGACAAAATTATATGATCACAAAATGTATACGAGTCTTTTATTTTTAAAATCAACTTTTTCTGTATATGATTTCAAATTCTTACAATGAAAACTTTTTTGACTTATTGTGTCACGATAAATATACATAAAGACAGTCAGGCAGAAAAAGCAATATTACTCCAAAGGAGATATGACCTCAAAATCTATAGGTGTCTTGCTCTTAAGTAAAGTACTTCTGAACAAAATGTGAAAACATTATGTTTAAAAGTGTTTGAGATATCACATCACAGCAAAAATGTCATAGATATATATTCAAACATACAGACAGACAGACAAAGTAATAAGACCCAAATATGGTTGTCTTGCTCTTATAGTAAAATACTTATGTTCAAAATTTGAAAACATTTTGTTAAAACTATTAGAGTTATGGCTTCACAACAAAAGTGCAGGGGCCCGTTTTATAAAAGAACTTATGACTAAGACCAAAAACTTCAGTTGATTGTAAAATTTTGCAGAATTAATAATTCTGTTTAAAATTGCTAGAGTAAAAGTATCTTTCTACATACTTTTTAAAAAGATTAAAACCATTTTCTATTTATCGTAAATTAGAAAGTTACTAGCAGAATTAAATTTTGGTCTTGGTCATAAGTTCTTTTGTAAAACAGGCCCCTGATGGACAGACGGATGTACAATGTGATTCCTATATAGGGCTCCAACATTTCATGAGGGGGCCCTAATAATGTGAAATCTCATCAGAAGGTCTACATAACACATAAAATTCAACTATGCATGATGCATATAAAATACCTATTGCATTGTATAGGGGTTTCCCCGTTTTCTTGTCCCAAACAACAGTTGTTTCCCTTTGGTTGGTGATACCAATGCCTGAAATTCAATAATACAGACAATAGAAACAGCCTTTTGTAACATAATTACATGCTATGGAGAAAGGTTACATATCAGTACTAGTACTATTAATCACTTTTTATTTGTGAGAAGTTTATTTTTGTGTAATTATGTAAGACCATCTGTTTGTGAAAATGTCAGGCCAATAGCCAAAATTCATGAAATTTTTGTTTTGCTTATAAATATCAAAGAACCATCTTGCAAAAAATAAGGGGTCCTAAGCTAACATCTTATTTCTCTTTCCGTCACAGATAAAAAGAGTCTTATGCAATGTTAAGCATTATTAATCCTATGGCCATAGAACGGATGTAAAAGTGGCAATATACCCTGCTTGGGGCTGAGAACAGATAATTATAATGACACATAGCAAAATTTTAAGCATATACATGTACCTGTGCTTGCAGAATGACCATTATAGTATACATGAACTATAATCATTATAATAGTTCAGATCACAGGCACTTTTATCAATAGAGAGAAAGGTTTAAAACGTCAAATGCCTGTGGTTCAGATACCAATTTTTGGTCATTTTATAGAATTTTTTAATGGAACATTTTTTAAAATTAGAAATCAAGTACACTGAATCATTATTTTTATTTTTTTTAAATAAAACTTCTTATTTTCAGGAGGAAAAATCCGGTTATTGAAATGGTGAAAAATGGCAGGAGGACAAGGTGGCTTCCAAATACAGTTGAACTTCGGTATCTCGAACACTGATATCTCGAATACCATGAATATATCGAAGTGACTTAGAAGTCCCAACTACTCATTCCTTAAGTATTTTACCCTCAATATCTCGAATCCTCAGATATCTCAAAGTTTTTTCTCAGTCCCATCGAGTTCGAGATAACGAGGTTTGACTGTATGTACATCATTTGTCAGGATAACTCGTCCTACAGTTGTTTTTACTTTCCAGATCAATTGTACATATATCAGAGATGTGCATGGTACTTGTATTTTGATTTTTGATAATTGAGGAGGAAAATACCAGCTGTTGAACTTAGTAATTTTTATGTCAAAAATTACATATAGGGTACATTGATATTGTTGAGATTTCACTTCCTACAGTTTTCAGAATAGCCAGTGAGAAATATCAGTACTGCTCACACAAAACCCGGTTTGCTGTCATATACCGACATGCTTTCCCCCTTCTTTCAATTTATTGTTCAGCTAAAACATTCATCCTTGATAAGGTACTGATTGAATGAAATACCAGTAAAATGACCCTTTAATTCAACAGATCTTTAGATTCTGAATCTTGCTGCAATAAGGTAGGTAATTACAATCCCTTGGGACAAAATAATATGATCTCTTTCTTTGATTGAACTTAATAATAATTTCTCTAAATTATACATTTTTCTTCAAGTAAATTACATTCTAATAGAGTGTATAAATTACATAACCTATCCGTTCTCATGAATACCCTAATGACATAAGCAATCAGTGAGTAAAAATGGGCACCATCAGATCAAATAAACATCTTGATAATTAATATACAGAAATGAATTTTTAATCCACATCATGGAGCCACTGAACTTTGACCTTGCAATACAATAGGGATCTTCCCCACATGATTTTCTACCTCCTTGTGAAAAACATGTATGAACTCTGACAATGGAGTTATGTATCCAAGGACCAACTTTGTAAATGGGGTAAAACATTTTAAACATATATTATATGGATGCATATACACTTTGTCAATGGTAATGTTGGTGTTCTCAAAATGAAATACTGTAAATACACTTATTTTAGAGGTAATCATATTTTAGAGCTTATCACACTGTTTCTTGTCTCCTTATTTATGTACACAGTTAAATATGAATAAAAATTATGCCCTGTTCACATGGACAGTTTAATTCGCAGTAAATTAATGCGTATTAAACTAATGGGAATTAAATTGCGTTCACACAACAGCTAATGCAAAGTAAACTAATGCGCATCAAAATTTTATATTTACAGTAAGGCTATTCAGTATTAAGGCTATTATGACGTCATTTGCAAATCACGTCACCTTATGCAGATCCATTTGACATAGTGTCTGTATACATTTTAGTGATTTACATAATTTTCCACTCAAAAATAGCATAAGTAACTATTTCTGACCACCGACATGTGGCATGTGACTTAAATTTGCCATTACGCATGCGTCAGGATTTAATTTGAATTAGCTTCGCTTAGCGTTCACATGGAGCTAATGCAAAGTAATTTGATGCACAGTATATTTATTCAAATTAAACTAATTTGTATTAAATTCTCCATTTAAACGAGGTTCAGATTTCATTCGCTGTAACTTACGTTTAATTCAAATTAAACTCTCCGAGTGAACAGGGAATTACATGTCATTGTTAAAAGTCTAGTGCTCTAATTCATGATTGTGCTAATCAGTTGGGGAGGGCAATTGCACTAAATTTTAAGTGTGCCAATTTATGTACATTTACAGTAATAAATTAATGTTTAATTTGTTGGTTTGCCCTCTTCCAAACCTAGATCTAAACTTTGGGTAGATAGAAAAAAAATTAATTTTCCTCAGTAATTAAAAAAAATTCTCTGAAAAAATTATAGATGCTGGAATGTGATCTCTATAGTAATGAAGCTTTATACTGCAGGTACATTTTCAAACGAACAAATTTAAAGAAGGAAAGAAAAAGTTTGAGTCAGTTTAATTTTTTCCTTCAGTTAATTGAGGGAAAACAATTATTTCAATTTTTACCCAATATATTTCATTTAATGTTATTTTCAACTACCAATAGGTCACCATTTATTTCAATTGTAACAAGAGGCCCAGTGCTTACCTGAGTCACCTTGGCCCTGCTTCAGAACAATGGGCCCACCCTAGCCCCAGGGGCTATGATTTAAACAAACTTCAATCTACATTATACCTAAAGATGCTTGCAAATTAATACGACTAATAATGACCATGTTGTTCTTTACACAAAGATTTTTTCTTTGATTCTCTTTTGTGGCTCCACACTACCCCCATGGTTAAAAAATTTGAATCTATATGACCTGACAATCATTGATCATTAAAATCATTGATCATGGCCCCATTGTTTGTGAAAGAAGGACTTCGTAAGATTTTTTCCTATATATTCTCATGTAAAACTTTGATACCCTATTGTGGCCCAACTCTTTCCCCCAGGGGGCATGTTTTGAACAAACTAGAATCTGCACTACTCAAGAATGCTTGCATATTTATATCATTAATTATGGTCCTGCTATACTTAAGATGATTTTTAAACATATTTCCATGTAAAACTTTAATCTACTAATGAGGCCCCACCCTACCCCCAAGGGCCATGATTTGAACTCACTGCACTACCTGGGGATGTTTGCATATTAATGTTACTAATCATTGTCCTGCTGTACTTGAGAAGAAGATTTTTTTTAAAGAAATTTTCTATATATTCTCACATAAAACTTTTTATCCCCTATTGGGGCCCCACCATATCCTGGGGGTCAATATTTGAACAAACTTAAATCTACACTATGTCAGGAAGCTTTCACATAAGATTCATCTTTTTTGGCCCTGTGGATCTTCTTCAGATTTTTTATGACACCTATCATTTTTGCCTTTTCTTTTTTATCTCCCCTTTCAAGAGGCCCTAGTCTTGTTCAACCAGATGCTCGGATGTCTCCATAAATCTATGACGAGCAGAAAGTCAGGTAAAAACTTGTGATAGCATTTGTAATGCTAAAATGAGGTTTACCAAAATTATAGTAAAATGTTTGATTGGCTGAAAAGAACACACCTCCACAGCTGAAGGTCATATAAGATAAATCAGCAGAAAAACAACTTAGAGATTTATAAGTTGATTATCTAAAAGTTATAGCAACTGGAAAGGAATTTTTTGCAGTATTGCCCACCAATATGTGTTGTACACTGTCTTGCCAAAATTATTGTCGCTGAAGCAACAGTGAAAGTAGTATACCCTACCACCGTAGAACACATTTCATCAATTATTATTGTTATTTCTCCTTTGGTATCCCTAATGAAGGATAAGTTTATCAATATAAAATCACAATCCATCAGAAGAAACATTTATATAACATTCATTTTCAAACAGGTCGTCAAAATTTTTTTTACCCTCTAACAGTAACAAATGCTATCATGACTCTCTGCTTATCAGAGATTTACGGAAACAGCCAAGCGTCTGCTTGAATGAGACTACAGAGGTTCTGGCTCTTTATTTGAAAAAAAACTTGAATCCCCTTCACGCAAGTATACTCTGTGCCAAGTTTGGATGAAATTGGCTCCGTGGGTCTGGATAAAAATGAAATTGTAAAACTTTATGACAACAACAACAGAAAATGGAAAATTTTGATCAGAAAAGCTCATCTGAGCCTTAGGCTCAGGGGAGCTAAAAATTCCTGATGATTTAATGGGAATTTTTATTAAGGTTTAGACATTAGAACTTTAATAGATGCATAATCATAGCCACTTGTTAAATGACTATGCAAAATACACAAACAAAATCCTTAAGCCATGTGATTCAGGATGGTATGTATATACCTCAGTAGTTAATCCCTTTAACAGAAAACATGTTTATAGCAAACACCTATTATAGTAATTTCCTATCAAATAGTATTTAGTGAAATATCATGGAAAACAAAATTAAAACAGGTCATCAATAGCAGTTTGTGATAATTCTGTTCAAACAAAAGGACCTTACACTTGATGTCTGAGACTGAGAGATTAAGTGCCCGTAGGTTTTCTACAGCTTTTTCAATGCAGAGGTAGACAGACTGCAAAATTTCTTGGGGGTCTTCCTCCACCCACCTACAAAAAATAATTAGCACCCAAGATATTAAAAACTGCATTATTTTACAAAGTAAACAATTTATTTAATTAGCAAAAAGCATAATATTTGTTAATGAGAGTATCATGAATGCAGTACTTTTATATTAAGTAAATTGTCTGGAGCTCTTTCAAAAATTCACGCTGTATTGAAAAACATATCCTTTTCTGAAGACCAAGTAATAAAAATAAAATATTTCAAATAGAAATGTCTTTTAAAACCATCATTTTTTTTTAAAACATTGTGTTGGTACAATGCAGACTACGCAAAACAAACCGAATTAAGCAAACAATCCTAAATGAATCCATAATTTTATATGAGAAAAAATGCTGGTACATGTATATAAATTTTCTCAATGTGGAGAAATGTGGGGTATGACATCAAAGTCAGGTACACATGTCATATAACATGGAAAAAACCTGGCTTTAACATTTATATGTGTGAGTGGTAACATTAGCTTGAAAGCAGGCTGCATTCAACCTCTAGCATTTACCCTTCTTTTGGTAGCAGTTGTTTGATCTCAGTTTGGTGATATGTAATCAATTCTCCTGTTTTGCTGCAAAATATCTAAAAAATAAAAAGTATGCATTCAAATTAATCTCAACAAATAATATTTTTTAATGTTCAAGACAGACCACATCAATTTATATCAGTTATTCTATGCAACAAAATGAAAATTATTTGATTGTATTTCCCTATCAGTTTCAAAATTTAGAGCATATTGCTACCAGGATCTGGGAAGTTTACATTTGAATACAATGCATACTATAAATGAAGTACATGTAATTTATACTATTTATAATAACAATGTATTATCAAACACACTCATACTTAACTTGCAACTTTCAAGTCATAATCAGCAATGATCAATGATCTGTTTAAAATTTCCTACACTAGACTACATATAGTTTATGTAGAATAGCTAGTATAAAAAGTTGTTTTTTTTTAATGTTCATTTCGCTTTGCAGGAGATACATTTATTTGTCTCCCACAAGGGAGATTAATTTGTTGGAGGAGATAAGACTATTTGGCAATTTTTGTGTGAGTTTCCTCCAGATGCAGGAGCATTAACAGGTATAAGTAAACAGTAAGTCTTGGATAGGGGTGGGGGAAGGAGAGTGTCCAATTTTACTCAAGATGTTTATCAACCTAACTCATTCATTCAAGGCAATACTGGATTCTCAAGCGCCTTTAATTAAGTCTCACCTCACTCTGATAAATATTTTACTAAAAAAAAATAATGTGTTCTTCCTTAATTTACAATGCAACATGCACCCAAATGCTGAAATACCTTATGTTTTCTAGATTTTTATACAATTTGGCTATACCTGGCTTTTTCCTCAGATGTTAAATACCCAAAATGTGAAAAAGTCTGGAAAACATCAGATATTTCGGACAAACATTGGTGTGCCCAACTTCACGGAGATGCATTTTTTAGCAACAATTTACCAGAAATCTAGAGCTGCTTGTTCCTTGGTCAACCGCTCCTACAAGGGTTCTACCTGACGCCATAACTGCTCGTTCTGGTTGCTTGGCTAACAATGTTTACATTTTCCCTATCTTATCTGCAAAGTTTCTGCAAATCGCTCCTCGCTCTGTAAGTTAACTATAACTACAGGTCAAGTACGTATAATCAATCACCGGAGCAGCTTTGCAGAGTGTATTAGTCGAGTATTGTGACCAAACTTTTATGATCCGGAATACTCAGAGAACAATACACCATCTCCCATATCAACCCGAGAACCCAGTATAGGACGAGGGCTAGAGGATTGATACTGGTATCGCCAACCCCCCTAACTCTCTCACTTTCGGGAAACTCCGCGCTGTTTGTAAAACGAATGCGATTGTGACGTCATTTCTTACATGCTGAAAATCTAACAATAGAGAAATTATTTACAGTCAAGTTCAATAACGCGTAAAAAAAAAAACAACAATTACATGTGTTCTATTGTATCTCTCATATTTTATTTGAAATCAGTAAGCACTTTTTCCCTTATAAATGTGCTATTCCATCGATACCTCCGACATGTGCTTCAATATGCTCTTTTTAAAGGATACACCAAAGGTTTCCAGATGCCAGAATTTTATTTGCATGTATTTCTTTCATTATCAAAGATAACATAATAAAAGTATATATGATTTGAAAGCTTGTTAAATTTGCTATTTAATTATCCTAATTTAAACTTTAATTAATAACTTATTTAAAAATTATTTAAATATTAATGTAAATTTAAGTGCATATATATTTTATAAATCAACTTTTTTGTATTTAACCCCTCAAAGTGGTCATTTTGCCTGAAGGTAGATAAAAGATTGAACTTAAAAACTGTATCTCAGATTTTTTACATACCAGTCATATTGATTTATGAAGTTCTTTCCCAAAATATTAATATGGCGTACCATGTTGACTATACGGCTAAAACATTTTATTTTTTGTCTCAAATTGCCCTAATACGCTACACGTTGGAGATAACATAGAGTGACGTTATTACATATAAAATACGTCATATTCTGCTGTTGATATTCTTCCTAAAATACAATTTTATGCTATTTTAGATTTTCAAAACTAATTTTCTATGTTTACAAGTTTAAGATGAAGGGAGAAAAAACTTAACTGGATTTTTTTTTTTTTAAATTAATAGTTCGTTGACTTATTGTAGAGAGCTCTGGTGACGGAGTTTGGGTTCGTTGGTTGGACGTAATCAGTGTACACGGATGTGATACGCGTTCTATTTATAGTAGTTTTGTATAAGTCCAATAACTTAATTTTTTTAAATAGTTCTGAAAACAATGTTTAAGTTCGTTACTGAGCATGCTAAGGAAACAAATCAAAAAGTAATCCAGAGAGTATTAACCTGGCGTTTTCCGCTTATGGTGACGGAGTCTGGGTATATAGCAGGGGATAGATGGTTGATGTAGGAGGCAATAAGAAAAAGGGGATGTGTTATTATGTTAAATGCATGCACAGCCAGGAACACATTAAGTTCCTTTATAGTACCGTTGTCAGAGACCTTTAAAGTTAAGCACTAAAACTGGTTCGTTGTCATGACCTCACAGGTGAGGTTAAGATAATGTCTGTCCGGTGTCGTAACTTTAGAGAACTATTAATTATTTTTATTTAATTTTTCAAGTGAGTTAATTGATAACAGTTTCTCACATTGCAATGGGGAACATAACTCACATTAAGTTTGCATTTATCTCATCCGATATTAACAGGTAATGTTAGAGTAGTTTGCGTTGGCGATACACCACCCTGCTCAAAACATATTTTGATTTGGTTATTTAATTTTTTTTTCTTTGAAATGAACATATTCTCTTTTATACAATAAACAATACCTAACACTTGGTACATGTAATATTATGAAGTATTGTTAGACCCTGAAATAAAAACCAAAAGTAAAGTAAAACTGGAAAAAATGCTATAATTCAAATTATATGTCCGTTGTCATAATTAAGTTTCGAAAATTCAGTCCGTTGTCATTGGTCCGTTGTCAGAATTGAACTGTATACACCATCGGTATAGCTACTGATTAATGCATTTTATTTATCAATAATAAAGCCAACATAGAGGAGAAAATGTGGAAGGAGAAAAACCGACTATATCATTCATAGCATGAATTTTCCAATGTGACTTAAGAAAGACCCATTGTTCTTATGCATTTTTAATTGAGCACGTATCTCGTGTTACGTTTTGGTTAACATTGAAATGTTTTATTACATATTCGTAAGCTAAGAGACGAAGAATTTTAACCTCTTAAGTCAAAAGTTTTAGAATTTTTTGTCTCTTAGCTTACTTCCTGCCTTTATCTTGAAGGTTACGGGTACTGAACCGAAACCTTGAAGATCAAGGCAGAAAGTCAAATTCGCGGAAACCTGTCAATGAGTACTTTTGTAATTTCAAAATACACAAGTCATGTTTTTCATTTCATCAGGTTTCGAACAAGTTCTCGAGGAGATTTAACAGCAATCTTTGAAATGTTTCGTCGATATCATTGCTTCTTCTACTGCTTCTAAGAGAACACTTTAATAGTTAAAATTAAATTCAAAGTACCAATCTCATTAAAAAACCAAAATAACTGAAATATAAATCAATGGGTGGACGATTCAATGACACGGGAACAAAGATTTAGCGAGCTTTAAAGTTAAACTTTCAAGGGTTGAACACCTTAGCAGCAGGGAAAGTAAATTATAATTGGATTGATTTTGTGAAGGTAGGGAGATATTTAAAATTGAGGTTTGTTCTGGGTGCCCAGAAAAAGTGAATTTGAAAGAGACGTGTCATAAGTTGAACAGTTTGTAATGAAAGATCGCCGAGTTACGGTTAGAGAAAAAGTTAAAAATCTGAACAAAAAATATTTCTTAATCTCCTAAAATTTCAGTTACCGTAAACTTTCAACAGATCAAATATAAAAGAAAGAAAACATCCATACTTGATCAACACAGTCATTCTACGGTAAAAGGACCAATTTAGGCTATAACACATGAAAAAATTGTTTCAAATAGCAAAATGAACATCATAATTCTCTAAAGGACAATATCAGTGAATTTGAAAAAAAAAGAATTGTCCACAAGTCAGGTATCATTAACCTTTCACAACAATTTCAATATACCATTGATTTTAAGGTATTGTTACGGAAGTAAATGCTTGATCAAATCTTACTATTTTTTAAATAAAGCTGAATTTGACCAATTTTTCGTTTCGGATGTTCAGTATAGAACGCTAAAGTATGATTCATGAAGTCTCGCATGAATCCGATATTGAGTTAAAATTTCGGAAAAAATATCCTTACGGAAGTTAATCGTTACAGAAGTTAATTTCCAGCAATAAAAGTTAAAACTCACGGCAATAGTTAAAATCAACGTTTGTTTTAGGATGTTAAACAAAGGTATGAAGCATTTCGTTCCCAAAATGATAATTTTTTTTTATACCTTTAATGTAAAAACTTTCCTGAATTACCCTTACGGAATTAAGTTAAATTTTTAAGTTCAGACGACACGTTCCTCGAAAATATATAATTTTTTCCGAGAATCGGTCATGGAAGTATTGCTACTTAAAGAAGTTTCCTCGCCAAAAATTGAGGTACCTTACCAGGCAGTTTGGCAAGATACCAGAGGGTGATATTTCTTATATAATCCTTATGGGTAATCTTTTGAATTGCCAATGAAACAATATTCTTTAAAACATATTGAAAACAATTTAGAAATCACAAGATAATGACAATTGTGATTTTTTTTTTTTTACATAATACCAAGGTATACAAAACATATATTTGAGGAACGTGTCGTCTGACCTTACGAGAGACAACTGTTTTTTGTTTTTCGAAAATGTAATCGTCTAAAATAGCTGACTCGCAACTTAGAATCGATGATATTAGGTTCCGTGGTCACTTTCAGATAATTTTCAGTTCTTTCTGAAATCTGCATTCTGTGCGTAAAATTTAGAACAAAATCGTTACGGAAGTTAATTGATTTCCAGCGACATGCTATTATTTCGCATGAAAGGAGATCCATGCATTTCTTTGGAAGAAGTGGTTTGATCTCTTTTTGTATAGGAAAAAATTTAACATTTATTGCAATCTATCCGGAACGCTTATACGGCTGAAAATTTCATCTTGAAATTTGTAAATGAATGAAGCGACATTAGGATTAGCAGTGGAATATGTTTTTCAACATTACATTGTGTTCATATCAAAACCTTTAACTGCATATATATCGGTTAATATTTACAAAACCGTGTGTGTGTGTGTTATGTCTTAGAGTTGAAATCGATCTTTAAATTTAAAGTAAAGACATTTCAGCGGTAAATTTGTAAGCGACATAAAAAAATCCTAATTGGGCATGTTTTCTTAGAATGACATGACTCACCCGAGACGTTGGGCTCGGGTTGTCATGGACACCATGCTCACAATAGAAAAAGAAATCCCAATCCAACCATTCTATTGAAGATATGCGGCATTTTGAGACGAATCGGTTATTCCTATTATTAAAAAATAAGGTGTGTGGGAAGAAATATAGTGCCCGAGAAAATCTTTGGGCTGATTTGAACAGTACGCTATTGAGTATGTCACATGACCGCCTGGACCACTTGCTTCGTGCGTGGGCAGAGCGGTGGCTTATAAATGAGTGATAAAACAGGAGAGGTCTACTTTACTAAAAAAAAAAAAAAAAAAATAAATAAATAAAATATAAACTCTAAAACCGATTTGGTTTCTTTTAAGGAAGTTATTCAATTAGTTTGCGAACTTTTTGTTCATCCCTCGTAAACTGAAGATTACCAAAATTGAATTAAATAAGTATTAGGTGAGTAATTACTTTCCTTTTTTCATTTGATTATGACGTATTTTGACTTTTTAAAGATATAATTCCATCTGGGATTGACCTGGAATTATTTGTATTTTACTAATTCATTATAATAAAAATTTAAAAGAATTGATTTTTGAACATTTAACTTGTCTAACTCAACTGAAGATGAAATTGATATTTTAGACAAATATCCTTATCGCAGCTCATCATATGTTTATTTCATAAAGATAAAATGAATGAGTAAACGAATTAAAAAAAAATGATAATAATAACAATAACTT